CTTTGTGTATATGTATTCACAATCCAGCTTTTATCTTTCGTTGTGCTCCACATTCCAAAACGAAAAGTATTCGACGACCGAAGACCATGTTTCAACACATATTATGCCACCCCCGAAATATCAACATTCCGAGCATCTTTTCTGACGTTCAGCTTTTTCAGTTTGGCTTGATGCATTGTATTAGTCGATGCTTTTTTGGCGTTGCCAATTTTAATACTGTTGAATAGCGTTGAACGTTGTTCCTCGGTTGTATTTGCAAATTAATACATAACGAGTCGTTCTAGCTCTCTTAGGATAGACAAATAATTCCATTGAAGTGTGTTGTGTACAAAAAGCAAGCTAAACATGCAATCAAAATCAAGTGTGTCTACCGGAATGAGTCAAAAACATGACATAATATGCACATTGATAGAGGTGCGAGTCGAGTGTGTGATGTTCATGCTCAAACCATTTAAAACACCCTCTCATTTCATATGCATGAATATACGTGTATTTGTGTTTGTGTATCGTATTAAATTTGTTATTTATGAATTTTAATACAATTTTTACCGATTTGAACCCGATGTGAATGTCATTTTCACTTCCATAATACAAAACTTTTAGATACCAAGTTGTTTGTTGTCTATCTGTTTAAATTATGTTCATGCAGTAGATTTGTGTGTATGTCAAATGGTTTTTGCGCGGAAAAGATTTACTGATACATTGCACTGTCTACTTAAATAGAACATGACTGTATCACACTTACTACTGTGGAGTGGAACCACAAAATGTGTGTGGGTGTGTATGTTTGCACACGCTTGTGTTACAATGTGATACTACGTGTTTTTGAAGATCTGAAAATCATTGTGCATGTATAAATTGGTTTATTTTGTACATTCGTTGTAATACTAACGAGCAATTTTATCTGGAACGTTTGGTGTACAGTAAAATAGCTGAAGTGCTGGATGATTGCTGACAGCAACTTGTATTTCGATACATATTTCTTTTCATTTGAACCCCCACCGCCCAACCATGTTGACAATGGAAACAGAAGAATAGAAAATGCAACCGATTGTTCAGCGAAACATCAGTTTGTATTGTACAAGTTAACAACTAAAAATGCAAGCTTTTGCACCTCATTCACTTACATGCAGTGTACACAAACAATATATGAAACCGAAATGCATCTGACTCTTTGCATAAATAGTTTCAATGTTTACATTCTGCAATGCATGGTTTTAGTGCACTTGAATTGAATCGACGTTCAACATTCTACATTGCAAACGCACATCGTACAATATGACTTTTTCGCTTTTTCAATTTCAAAGGAATGACATGACAACGATAACAGGATATATGCATATACATTGCACTATGTATGTACACAAAGAAAGAGAGAGAGATGTGAACAAAACATGCGACCATATCTATCCATGTGGAATTTAAATCGTTATCCAAAAACATGAAATGTGGTGAAACATTAATTAAAATGGGAAAATAAATCTAACATATGTACTGGTTGAACATACATTTGGCTTTTTCGTATTATTTGATTTATAAGCTGAACCAATATTTGAAGATTAATAAATACAATCACCTAATGAGATAGATCAATAAAAGAAGAAAACTTCATCTGGATTATGGTTTTAAAACCGTTGCATTCATTCCGAATGGAAAATGTTTTGTTTTCTTTTCGAAATGGATTTCATTTGTCGTTGTGTTTTGTTTCAATTTTGAAATTATACCTCTGCACTTATACACATATATACAAACAAACAAAAAATCCCGATTCAGTTCCCCTTTTTTATCATTGTTCGAGAAAAAAGACTATTCGTATCAAATAAACGAGAGCAACTGACAACAAGTGCACAATGCACGTACGTGAACTCTTCAAAAAAAATATATATATATCAGAGAACGTTTAACAAAAGTTTCCACTTTTCATGTAATATCAATTGGATAGCACAGCATCCATTTCCCGCATCCAAACACAGCAACATCAGCAGCCAGAAGCGACGACTCAAGTACAGCAAGAAGTAAATAAATGAGAGTGGGAGAGAGATACCACAGTTAAATTGCAAAAAGATCAGGCAAAAAAAGGAAATGTAACGAAGCTTACCCAGAGTAGCAAAACAGAGTAAAAAGCTATGATATCGCATTGCTGCACTGCTAACAATTTTCATTCTCTGTGTAACATCCGTTATATTTTTTTGTTTCTTCACTCAATGCACTTTTTCCAACCACTTTCTATTTATTCAGTCGATTTTTTTTTTAACTCTCGTTCCCCTTGCTGACTTTGTGAGCACTTGTTCATGCATGTAGTGTGTGTGAATGTGTCAAATATGTGTGCGATCAGATATAACCTCATTTTTATTGTGACAAGTTTTAAAAAGTCCTGAACCCCAAAGTAAAGTCTACGGGGGCGAATTGGAGTGGGATGTGCAATGAAACAAGAATGAAAAAAAAGAACAACGTATTTCAAAATTTCATGACATTCTTTTTTGTATAAAACTTCACTTTTAATTCTATTTACTTGCGACTTTTTCAACTGCATATTTTTTTTGCCGTAGATTTCTTTTTGCTCCACAATGCATAACAATAACAACAACAACAATATTGCAACGTTATATATGTAGAGTGGAAAAAAAGGAACAAAGCGTTATACACACACTAACACACAAGCAAGCAAGCAACGGATTCGGGAAAAAAGGAAACGTTGCTCGCGCTTTCACATGATTGCATCTGAAATCCTCTTGGCAAATGAATAATTTTTTTCTTATTCGGATGTATGTGTGAACTACGCTGTATCAGTGGTATGAAAAAAAGTGGAAAATAAAACGACATCGAATGAGCTTTATTCAGCTTGAAATGTAAACGCAATAATATTTTCAAACTGCATATACGAGATGCGATAGCATAGACAGCGTGTTTTATTTACACTCGATCCCTCTTTCTCTTTCGCTGGTTCTTTTTGATTATCACATACACAATGCAATTGCTGCACATTGCCATATCAAAGGCATATACATACATACATACATACAAACACACACCAGCTATAGTGTTTTAGCTGGAACATAATCAGTGCACATTTTCCCTCACGCCAATCATCCATTGCAAGTACTCAGTTCACGTACAGGCAAAGATGAGAATGCAACGAATGAAATAAAAGCGGAAACAACAATGACGATTGCCACTGCCAGCGCAATGGAGCAGCGTTGAAACTATGCTACGAAACTAACCGATCGACTGTTTAGTTCCATCTCATGGAATAGTTTTATGTATGGAAAATGCCATAGTTAACTTCACATCACAAGAAATGTGAGAGAAAGAGATAAAAAGCACAGTATATGGAGCAACAGTAGATTGAATTTTGAATTCCAATTCGTTTTATTTCGTTCGGTTGATGTTTTGAGTTTTCGTACCATGTGAAATAATGTAGCCAATACAGTCGTTTTCTTTTCTTTGCATCCTTCATCATTTTGCCACAATGCAATGTTGCATTTGAAAAGTTGACTCGGAGTGTGGGTCGGTAAATAAACAAACTTAGTGAGTGGCAGTGGAATGGCGGTCATGGATATATATATATACCGTATACACGTATATCTAAAGTAATATCTGAAAACCATTTTACAAGCCATTTTAAAACCTCTTTTCCTTTTTTGTGCATCTCTCTTCCATGTTCTCGACCAAAGTGTGCAATGCAATATGGTTGGCATACATACAACAAACACATACAAATGCAGAGCATCAATGAGTGGAAACAACTCATTTGGCCAAACGAGAAAACGCATAAGAAAACTTGAAAAACAAAGTATGAATGGGTAAACCTTGCAAAGGAATTCATTATATTCGTCGCATATTTATCACACTTTTCTATTCAATGTGAAATCCGTATCTGTTGTACCATATTGCTTTCAAAATACTTTCATTCTACCAACCAATATACAGACACATACACACACACACACTTGGCACTTGAGCAAGTCCACAAATACAAACACATACATAAGCACATACACATGCATGAAGATGAAAAAAGGATGAATTGCATATTTAAGTGCTTTGAATTGAAATGGAATAAAACAAGGGCATTCTTACTTTGATGCATGAGAATGCAGAAATTTGTGTTGCCACTTCTCTTGCAGTACACTTAAGTAGAGTAATGCACACATGATTAAAGCACGACATTCTGTCGTTTCATGTTTTGTATTTGCATGAATAAAAGAAAAAAAACGTCATTTTAATCTATATCAACAACCAAAAGAATAGCAATTGCAAATTTTTCCGTGTGAACTGTATACATGGTGGCATTGAGTTTAAGGAAGTTCAACGATAGTTATGCTCTTTACAACATTGCATCGAGCATGTAAGAAATCCAAGTCGTACTAATCTCTTTCATTTTCGGAATACTATATGCCAACACATTTTAAATGTATGGTACACATGAAATATCAAAGAAAATTGTTGAGCGAACAAAAAAAAAACAAATCCCATTGAACCAACTTCAGCCCCATGTTTTCTTTTGCTGCTCATACTTTGCTTGAGTTTCCTATATGAACAATCAATGCATTTTCCCATTTTCACTGATTTTCGTCTACATTATACATTGCTGGATCGTAAGCAAACAGACAGGGGGAGAGAGCGTATAAAGTAACCGAGAACATTTGTGGTAATCCAGCGTTTTATGTATATACATGGCGATAAAAGTTTCTGCAAATGGAAAATGTAGAGTGAAATACGTTTGTGCGATGAAGAAAAATGGTTTATCCAAAATGCGAATCAAGTATATAGGTCATGACGTGAATTCCATGCACGTCCGCATATTTTGTGCAAATATGAATTACTATCGCATGAGCACTGAAATCAAATAATATAAACTTTTAAATGAAAAATCATACATTGCTGCACAAAAAAGCGCGATAAAAAAGGAAACACTGTCGAAAGCAAACCAATTTAAAGTCCGCACTCTTAATACAGTCATTCTTAATGTGTTTTTTGTTTTACTCTTCTGGTTACAGGGCCCACCACAACAAGGACCAATTAAGTTCACAATTGCTGACACCTTAGAACGAATAAAAGAGGAATTTAATTTTCTGCAGCAACAGTATCACACGTAAGTTCATCAGTGAAGTGATTCAATTAGTGGCATTTTCGGTGTTTGTTCAATTTTTTTTGGTTTGAATTTTTGTTTTTGCAGATTAAAATTGGAATGTGAAAAACTAACAAATGACAAAACCGAAATGCAAAGGCATTATGTGATGGTAAGTTATAAAAAAATCTAATCGATTTCATTTTATCAATAATTCATTAACGAGGGGAAGACACTATAAAAATTATATGAATAGGAGGAGTTTACATTGCAAGCGGCATTGTAATTAGTTTATATTCTGGAAATCAACTGAATATAAACATATATAACTTTGTTGCCACAAAAAAACTTTTAATTAGTGTATTTGTAATATCTAAATTATCCACTTTAGATGAATGGTTAAAAATAATCACTTGCATCATTGTAGCTACCTGCATCTTCAAGTCACGTATTTACATTTCATTTGCATTTGAAGAAACCTGCTCTGCTATTTTTCGCCAATTGTGTAAAAACAGTATAAACAATTAACTAACGAATTAAACGATTTTGTCGATAATGGTATTGAATTCATAGATTACGTACAGACATTAAAATGGAACGAAATAAAAAAAGGCATTGAATCAAGTGACCTTAATTCACGACGCCAAAATTAATTTACCCACTTCAATAGATCACAAATGACAAGTGCGCAATAGAGAAAAATTTCACAAAAAGCCAATTAAAAAGCTCATTTTGATGGACAGTTTTCGATGGTGGTAAATCACTATGTTCGATAAAATCGTGAAATGTTATCCCCAAATTTTAAGTGAATATCCGAATCGTTTTGCATCACATTTCATTCGGTGTAAATCTGAAGGTTGAATGAATCGAATCAAAAATTCCACATCGTCTAGCGGTAAAATGTGGTCTTATCATACAAAACCACATAGAAATTACTACAAATGCTTGAGTTTGATCCAAATTTCAAGCTCATTTAGCATCACATGTCAGTACATTTACAATTCACAGCCGTATAGCATTCATTTCGTTCAAACGGTATCGTTGAGCATTTCTACCTTCCATGTTCGATGGGGTGCTGTGTGTGTGTGTATATCTTTAGTGCATTTATTTGAGCTATTCATTTGATGGTTGTTGTCCGTGTTCTGTTTTGAAAACTTGTGCACAACGGTAATAGCATAAAACATGGCTTCATTATATTTGATTTTGGCTTTTGTGAAAATTCGGTGAGTCAAGTTGCGATAAAAATCAAGCCAAACGACAAATCTATCGCAATGATAAATGCGAGAAGGGTACAGATGAGTTTGTGTATGTGTGTGTGGATGTCATTTGTGTTTACAACTAACGCTCTTCCACTCCATGCCCCATGTGCAGATTGTTCACAAGCGTGAAACTGAAAAAGCATCGACACAAAATGAAATAACCGAGAAGAAGAAAAAAGTAGATACACATCTCTAGTGAATGGATTGACTGTGACAGGTTTAAACTAGCAACATTTTTGAATGTTGGTATAAGAGATACCTTAGTGACACTCAATTATATTTAGTTCAGTAATCAACGTTGCAACACCGACCGATAGACATAGTCCATATGGATGAAATTGTATGCATTGTATGGATATATGTACATGTGCGTTGTATATCATGCACTTTATTTGCTTCATAAACATGTTTGTCGACATTTTCCGCTCCGTAATGGTACTGTACAAATAAGCCATAAGCCTTTTTACGTTCAATCATTCAAGTCAGTGAAATTTACACACAGATACACACCCGAGACATAAATAAAATGGACGAAAACAGCCCACACTCATTCCAATTCCAATATCGTTGAATAACACTGAAGTGTACGTACCGTACATTTCTCATGCATTCCATCGTGTCAATTAACTCAGTTGGCATCGATTCAATATTTAATTTGATATCGAAAGGAGCTTTTATTCGATGGCATTTAAACATCGTTTTACCTATGAAATCGGTTCTAAAAGTTTTTCACGGTATTTCTTTCTGTCCGTCGACTGACTGGCTGAAATTTATGTCGATGTGATTGAACACATTGTTGCCAGCAATCGAATAAAAGCTATAATTTTCAAACATGCAGTGGTTGCTTCAGATAAAAGCTTTGTAATTACTTCAATCGATAACGATTATAATAATTTTATAGATTTAACATTTTACCATAGCAATATAAGCGACAATAATTTGCAAGAGAGAATTTTGAATGAGTGAAAAAAATTATGAAAAATCGAACATATGGCTTGTGGTTAATTTGCGACCGTTTGAAAACAATTCAAATGCTGCCAGAGGCACATCAATGCGCGCGTATTCTCAAACTTTAAATATTCAAATACGTAATTTATTCACTTGATTCAATTTGGAGTCAGTACAGTACAGCAGCATGCTTTTCCGCTGGGAATCTATAAATTTGAAACCCCTTTTTCCTTACGACAATTCTATCTTTGGCCGCTTGAATATTATATAGTTGCAAGGGAATAATTCACTGGTTAAATAACGATATGTCAGAAACTTAGAAGGACTCAATAACATAGCTGTCCACGAACGTTCGTTCGTTCGTTCGTAGAATATTTTTTTGGTCTTTTTGTTCGTTTGTTCGTTCGTAGAAAATGAATTGTTCGGATTGTTCGTTCGTATGTTCGTACGAACAACGAACAACGAACACGTTCGTTCGTTCGTAATTTATGGAAATTTATTTTCTGCAATTTTCTGAATGTAAACAAGTATTGCGATAATAAATGTAAATTGGAAAAACTTTAAATCAATTTTTCCCGCTTTTCCGATGGGAAATTGTGAAAAATAAGCCTGATTGGTTCATTAGCCCAAAGTCCAAATCCGGTGGAATTTGGCTGATCCATGAATTCTCAGGATTTGACCTGAATTCTAAAACTTCCATTAAGATATTCTATAAAAAATCCATTCTTCGTGTAATTGTATTTATTTTACATTATGGAAGTTCTGGAATCCAGGTCAAATCCTGAGAATCCATGGATCAGCAGAATTTCACTGGATTTGGACTTTAGGCCATTGAACCACTTAGGTGTTGTGGCTCCCAATGGGAGTCAACATTATGCTTATTTTTCACGATTTCCCATCGGAAAAGCGGGAAAAATCGATTTCAAGTTTTCCCAATTTACATTTATTATCGCAATATTTGTATACATTGAGAAAATAAATTTCCAAAAATTACGAACGAACGAACGTGTTCGTTGTTCGTTGTTCGTACGAACATACGAACGAACAATCCAAACAATTCATTTTCTACGAACGAACGAACGAACAAAATATACATTGAAAACGAACGAACGGTTCGTTCGTTGGTGTTCGTGGACAGCTATGCTCAATAGGCTGTTTGAGAAAGATACAATGTGAAAGGAAGAGAAGCATGCATCAATTGAAACGTTGACCAACAATTTTGTTGAATATTTTATATGCTGTAACGATGGGCGCGGTTTTGCAAACGATGGTCAAACAATTTTGATATTGTGGTACTTGTAGACGCTTTTTGACATCGAATATGATTTCTGGCCATAAATGCATTTGAAATAAAATTAATTATGACCCTAAATATTGACATTTTATCAATAAAATGTGCATGTAACCGTCCACTCTCAGTTGGAAAAATGTGCATCTATAGCTTTTACTCTCTTTGAGAGGTTCAGTTTTTATCATAGTATATTACATCAATAGAATCACAATCGTTTGAAAATGTAATCAGGTCGAACCGTAGCAAAATTGAATTATTTATTAAATGGCGCGTTATAATACTGCTTAAAAGTATACAATTTCTATTACAGTTAAAGTGTTTACAAAATCCTGTAAATTGTTACGTACAAGTGGTATATAACATAAAGAAACATTTCATCAGTGATCGGAAGAAAATACTTCACATTTACTTCAGAAATATATTTTACTTTTCAAATATTCGACCAACCCTTTTATGACTAAAATGTACCCTATTTAAATTTGTGCATATTACAGTATATAGAAAACTACATGAAAATTATCAAAATTAACAGATAATGTGGTGAAAAAAATAGATACATACAATTTAAAGCATGTATTAAAGCGATAATACCCACTCAATATGTACATCCAGAATTATAAATAACCACAGAGAAAGTTTACCGAAACTTGTTACTTGGAGAAAATATAGGAGCAAAGTTTTGTACCAACCAAAAGGTATATTCTCTTTAAACCGAAAAACAAACATTTCGTACAGAAATATAAAACTTTATATGAATAATTATAATTATCCTGTTAATTTTGGTCATTTAAATGAACACAAAAAAGCAAGTAAACAAGTTTAAATCATTTTAATAAATAATCGTGATTGATCAATCAAATTAGCGCATAAAATGGTCAGTTATTTTCAAATCTGACCTTTGGCTTTTATAGTTATACATATCAGTTTAAAATGCATTCATCAAATGTAAAGCACTTAATACATTATTGTCTTGAGCATTTAGGTTATTGTATTTTGTTTGTGTCGCGTTCTCATTATGAGCTTAGTGGAGACAGACGAGGTGTAAAAGCCTTGCTTGGAATAATCTATTGGCGACAACAAGACTAAGTGGAAAATTTGAATAAATCTCACTTTTATAGCTTGAGTCAACAATTTCTGTGTCGCAGGGGAATTGTAAGCTTGCGCGTATCGAATTGCCCTCACCACATACGGTACATGGTACATTATTACAAGGGATTCTCAATATGTTCTATGTTCTATGGAGAGAACAGTGAACATACAATTTCCATGTGCTACTATGTATAAAATGATGTTGAATGTTTGTTATCTGACTTATAGTTCGACTTCTTGGGAGGCTGCACTGCACACAGTGCACACTACTCATTATTAAGTAGTACGACAGTGTCATGTTCCGTTCTGTGACTGCCACGTCGCGCACATATTCACTTAAACATTCAGTCGGCAAATTATCTCATTATCATTACTAATGTGCGGCTTTCACACAACCTTTTGACTTCAGCCGTCTCACACTTTCATTTTCACTGCTAATAATAATAATTACTAAGACATGTATGTTTAACCATTTAATATAAATTTGATGCCGAGAATGATATTGATAACAATTAAGCAACCATTGACAAAGTCAACTAAATTCAACACAAAATATGATATTGGTAATTTTGTGAATAAATTTTCCACGCAAATGGAATTTAATATCGTAATTGATGCTGACCTATTCAAAAGAGAATATCTAATCTCAAATTATATTCGGTGAAAATATTAAAAGAAAAAGAAACAGTAAAATGTCGCATCAGTGAAATATACTTGGAGCAAAAAAAAATATACCATCGATGCTACTTATAAATTCTCAACACATCAATTTAATACCACATGAAATGGCACAAGCTTACAACGACAGAAAATGCTTTATCCGTTTTATGAAAGCGATGAACAGGTTTCTCTCTTCTTTTGCTGAGTGTGAAGGAGATATAACGTACTCAAGTTTTTTTTTTGCCAAACGCTTTGGTATATAATAGTATGTACATCGAAAACATCACGTTTATCTATTGAATTAGCCATCAATGAACGGTTTTTTTTTATCTTTAATGCATTTTCGTGTTTTTCTAGCATTTTTTTTCTTTCTTCTTTAGTGAAATCCCGGTAAAATCACATTTGATGAACATATGTACACGTTTTTTGAATACATAAAATAATCCTCGCATTGTCAAAGCGAGTGAAGAGATTGTTTTCTTTTTTTCGTGTCTGTTCAAGTAGAGAATACATTCGCGAAATGAAAAAAGCTTTGCATAATTCCATGATTGTTGTATGTGAATTTCGAATGATAAAGAAATTGAGAGAGGGGGGGTGGTAACGTGTTTCATATCCAATAATATTGACAGTTAAAATAACAAGAAGAAAAACGAACACGTTTAAAATATATGTGATGAGAGACATGGAAACAATTTTATTTATTCAGTGAATTCGAATAAATGTATCTGCATTAAAGCCCTTGATTTCATTTATAGAAAATACAAAATAATTGAGATTCAATATTTAATAGAGCCATTTGTATTCGAAAGTATTTATATCATACCTAGAATCGCTAATGAATGTTCAAGGAAATGTAAACCATTACTATTTCTTTATTTGTTTTTAAATGTTTCCTGCTTACTAATCAATTTTTTTCGGTATCATTTTACAGTACTACGAAATGTCGTATGGCCTTAACGTGGAGATGCACAAACAAGTAAGTGGAAAAATTTATTTTATTTTAAATTCAGAATGAAAAACAAAAGAATATTCGAATCCAAATAAAAGTCAGATTTATGGCTTTGAATGATTTCCAAATCGACAAAAAATCGTAGGTTTTGAAGGGAAAAAGAGAATGATAAAGACAATGATCAATAAAACCATACGAACTCCTGCCTTGTTTTATTTGTGTTTGAAATATTTATGACCGTAACATTATTATTATTGACATTTATTCCCTTTGCTATTTTTCACATTTCGATGAAGATACTAAACATGTTTTATTGCCATTCAGAATCAAAATTGGCATAGAATGCATAATGTTTTCGCATGGAAAACACCTCCCACGAAAAAAACGCCTTAATCTTTGCTGTACTTTTTGTTACAATATGTTCACTCATCTCTTTAGCTCTCCCTCTCTCTCTCTTGATCTCTTGTTCGTTTTGTACGTGCTGCGTTGTGTTTAAGTCAATGTTGGCCAAATCAATTCAATCGTCTCTAAATTTTCTTGGTTGTTTGATTAGTAATTTTTATTGCATTTCGTAGTGCTGGATTCAGAATCGAATTGTTGTAATCAATAACAATGTATTGATATGGAATTCGGTTCGAATAATCGTTTCATTACATAGTCATGATGTTTACTCAGTACCACTGAGTTTGCTTATTCCGAATGGCAAGCATATTATACGAAAATTAGAGCATTGAACAAAAAAATGGAACATTTCTCATTCCAACCCTCTGAAATGCGGTGGCATATCAAATGAGTAGACATTTCTTGTTTGCCATCCAACATTGTACATCAGCAAAATATCAAGCGATTTCATCATGTCAAACTCACAAAGTGGAAAGGCTTGATGTTTATTTTTGTTGTGTGCTGGTTTTCTTACTCCGATTGCGAACATGCCAAATCGAATGGTGTACATGGTGTGCACATGTGTTGGTCTTCCATTTTATTTACTTTGCGTTACATCTTTTTTTTTCTACTTCTCTCTTCTTGCTGTTATTTATTTGATTTTTATCCACATCGGCACTTTACTGCGGTTCAGATATAACAGTTTTATGCACATTTCTCCCCATGGATTTGGAGCTTTTTCGTTTCGTTTCTTTCGCACGTTTTGTGTAAATATTCGATTTATTCGGAATGGCTAAAAGAAAATCATCAAGTTTAACGCTTATAAAATAAAGTCGAATGTTATTTATTACATTGTGTATAGTGAATTCGTTGCCATTTCTTTTATTAACATTTTCGTTTGATAGCTGTCAAATGTATTTGCCGATGTAAATGCGATGCACAATGAACAGTTGCTGAAATTGTTTTGTCAAACTGTTAAGACGAGAGAGTGAGAGAACAGAAAATGGTGGTATACGTAATTACAGTCATTAAGGCTACTTTTCTTCGCCGTCTCTGTTTAGTGGCAATGTAAACAATGAACTGTTTTGCAGTGTTTGTTTAACACTGCGGAATGAAAAGCCAATTACGAAGTGGAAAAGTTCGTCGAAAATCTAGAATGAGATGTTGTTAAAACTTAAATCGAAAGAACAAAATAGTCTCTATCTTCAATTCTCCAGCGTTTTACATGGCTTCATGTTTATTTGGTACATTGAAGTTTCTTGATTTCATTATATAGTTTTTTTCCCTCGATTCACCGCACATAAACTTGAAAATGCGGTAGAATATTCCGAAATTAGCCCATTCCCTACAAAGACATGAGTTATGTTTTTTTTTTTTTTGTTAAGGTTTTCAGCCAATATCAACGGTGAAGTAACGTTGAAAAAATAATGCTGTAAATCTACCCGATTGAAAGATTGGAAAAGTAACGGAGCGCTTTGTTTTTCTATCTGTCATTTTTCTCAACCGCTCTCTTCTCACTAACAAGTGACAAGCTAGCATTTGTATGTCTCGTGAGACTCAGATGAATGTAATGATTATGATAATATTGTATGGTATACATATATCCATCTATGCAACGGAATACGACCCACATTTTCCAACAAAAGAAAAAGACGAAGAAGAAGAAGAATAAGATGACGAAAATCCATTTTTACCATTTCACACGCGTAAACATAACGTAGATGTCAAATCGAAATCAAATAGACTGTGGCAAACTTTATCAAACCCCGTGAGCATAGTTTGTATAGGAACTCAACCATCGTATGTCAAAATGAAACTTGGTTATCGCTCTATGTACTCGTATAAATAGTATAGAGAGATGAACAGATGAAATGACGAAGCAATGAACAACAAAATAAAACGGAAAAAGGAAACACAATTTAAGCATGAGTGCATAGATCCAACGAAGAATGAATGGCGAATAAAAAGATGAATTTTCATCGTATGTGCATTTGGTCTGTAAAGCGAATAAAATCGTCTTATTTCCTATCACGAACTTCACTTCGGTAGAAGGGGTGACGTCTTTTTTTATTCCCATTTCGTTTGAAATCGTATACGATGTCGGTGTCGTCTTGACTTGTGACGAACATGATACATGGCTCATGTATTTCGTGGTGATTTTCATGCCTTGGTGTTTGTTCAAAGTATTTGTTTGTGTTTGTGCACACTCCAATCTCGCATACTTAGCCTGTTTTGTTCTTTTCCGGGATTATTGCACAAAGATATACCTTCGTGGTTCACAGAAGAGATTTTCCTTTGAGTTCCTTCGCTTCTATTCCCTTTGTATCATCATTCTATGTCGATGAATATTCGTGTAGTTTTTCAAGCACTACATTCACATATGGCCAAAGCCATTTTGCTTCTCATTTTCAATGGTACATGCAACATTGTAGATGCCACTTCACATTCAGTGTTGAATGAATATTTCAAGAAGTCTCTTATCTACAAAGAACCATTCCAAGTGAATGTTGAGTAAATAAGAAGGATCGATTGACCGGTCAAAAAGTTTACACACTATTAAAATAGAGATAGAGAGTGTGATACCATTCAAATTACCTTGATCGCATTTTTTTTATTCACAATTTTAATTGGAACCGTTTTTTTTTCTTTATTTCGTTTACAGACAGAAATAGCGAAACGTTTGAGTGCATTGATAAATCAACTGCTTCCGTGTTTACAACCAGAGCATCAACAATCTGTGCTTCAGGCTGTTGAACGAGCCAAACAAGTTACAATGCCGGAGTTGAATGCTATCATTGGCGTAAGTATATATATGTTTGATTTATGTAGCATTTGAAATCTATGCCTGAGCGAAGGCGATTTTTTTTTCTTTTTGAAAGAGTATGCAAAAATATAGCCAAATTGTATATTCCGCGAATTAGAGGTAGTTTACCGATTAGATTTTGAAAGTAATATTTTTAGTTTTTATTTTTTGGCGATGGTTTCCTTTTTGAAGAACGAAATGTTAAAATTTATTTGGATATTTTTTATTTCGATTTCTTTTTTCGTTTAAACTTTGTCGAATTGGCCTACCAATAGTAGTTTTGCTCGGAAATTTTCCTGCCTTAATAAAATAGATACGGAATATGGGATAAATGGAATAGAAAATAGTTTAAAATACAAGCAAATTCCAAATTCAAAAACAAAATCAATTCAACAGGATATTAACTATTTCCTGTAATTATTGCAAAAATTTACGGTTTCTCTTTTTTTCTCCCATTCTACTTACCACCTACACATACAAAAAAAAATACAATATACAAACACGTGCGTTTAAAAATAAATACAGCAACAGCATCCAGCAATCCAGCAATTGATCGTAAGTTCGTAAACGTGCTACTGATTTTGATGATAACATTTGTTCGATCGCGCATTTGTGTTTATTTTCATTTCATTTCACATCATAATTGCGCTTGGTCATCATGTATTCACACAAAAGACGAAAAAAAAGAATTAATTTTTTTGCCATCATTGCTTTTCGTTGTTGCTTTTTCTATGTATTTTGCAATATTTTTCACTTATTTTCGAATAATTATAATTTTTGATGACACACAAGCTTAAATATATAAATAAATAATAATCGCCAATTCACAAATATCACACACTAAATTAACAAAATGCACGCACTTTTTCTTTTAAATGTACACTGGCATTCGTTGCACACTAACATTAAGTTACTACATTTATTGATGCATTTTTAACTAATTGCTTGCTTATTTTCGTTGGTAAACATTCAATATCATTTATTCATTTTAAATAAGATATCTATGTGTATTTTTTATTGCATTTTCACTATTTTAACGTATTTTTTGTGCTTGTTTTGTTTCAACAGCAACAAATGCATGCCCAACAAATACCCATGACACCACATCCGATACCAACGCTAGGTTCATTGGGCTCGTTTGCCGGCCCAATGGGTCTACCACATGGACCACAAGCATTGCTAAAAGTGCCACAGGATTTACACAGAGAAGACATAAAAGTCCCCTTGGGCGGACCATCGGCAGAAGAACGATTGGTAAATATAAATTAATATTTAAAAATTGAATCAACAAATCTAATGTGTCCAAACTGTTTGTTTCAGCGTAATTCTGTATCACCAGCAGAACGTGAAAAATATCGGCCACGATCACCGCCAGAACGAGAGATAGAGGATACAAAACGACGTAAAGAGGATAAATTAACCAACGTAAGTATGAACGAAAATAATTTCCAAATAAATTTGGTGCTAAGCTTGGTATTGTATGACATTTTTTCTCTATCTCTCTCTTTTGTTTCGATGAGTAAAATAAAATTAAAACCGCGTAAAATTACACAAAAAATAAATTCAAAAAAAGAAGGACTTGACTAATATAGATATATACTAAAGAAGAAAAGTTTGCGTAGAGTTTGTTTTTTTTTTCGTTTGTTTTATCGAATTTTTTTGGTATTTTCATTCGGTTGTTTCATTTTCCTTTTTTTTGTTCTATTTTTTTATGTTTGGAATATCGAAAATAATCTAGGAGAGTGATGGAGAGAAAAGCGACCAGGATTTAGTTGTGGATGTTGCAAATGAAAGGGTAAGTATTGTATCGCTAAAAAAACAGAACACACACACATCAAGTCAAAATCGAAAAAAAAAAATATTTAAGTCAATAAGAGCTATTAAATGCACATAAGATTGCTCTCCATTTCTGTCTAATGTCTATGATCGTCATTTTTTCTTTACTTTCTTATTGTTTTTATTTTTGTTCATCGACAAGTTTTATCTTAATTTTATTCACAAAGTCAATCAGTGAAAGTAATAATTTCGCAAAGAAAATTGTAAATTAAAAACATATCAGCTTAATTAATATAACAATGAATTTTTGTATTTATTTTTTTAAAGGAATCACCGTCACCTCGCGCAAATGGCGATCATGCCGTAGATTCACGCGACAGCATTGGATTAAATGGAAATGACAAACCGGGCGGTAGTAATTCGAAACCTTCGGCTGAAAGACCACCATCTCGCTCTGGTTCAAGTTCATCCCGTTCAACACCCAGTTTAAAAACGAAGGATGTAAGCACACGCAATTACCATATTGTTCAATGACCATAATTTCAATGCGTTCATATGTTTGTGTGTCATGTTTTTTTTTAGTTGGATAAACCAGGAACTCCCGGCACAAAGGCTCGATCGACAACACCAAATGCAAGCGGTACCCCAGGAGCAGGAAAAGGTGCTGTTCCACCCATACCTGTTGGGTATCCATCACCGTATCAACGACTACCCGATCCATACCGAGCACCAGCCGAATATGGCCGGGCATTTGATCCACATGGCCATGTTCGTACAAATGGCTTACCGCTTACAGCAGCCCCACATGCGGCTGGAGGAAAACCGTAAGTGTCAAGAGCTACATTCGCACAGGTTCTTTTTTTTTAAATGAATGCAATTGATTTTTGTGTGGTGTGCTTGCAGTGCGTATTCTTATCACATGAACGGTGAGGGAACATCACAACCAGTGCCATTCCCAGCAGACGCTTTGAATGGACCAGGAATTCCCCGTCATGCACGTCAAATAAACGCTCTGTCACATGGTGAAGTTGTGTGTGCTGTTACCATATCGAATCCAACGAAATATGTTTATACCGGTGGCAAAGGCTGTGTCAAAGTTTGGGATATATCACAACCGGGTAACAAGAGTCCGGTTAGCCAGCTTGACTGTTTGGTGAGTGTCAGAAATGTCCGATAAATTTTATGTAAACCATTATTTATAATATGATTTATGTATTTTAGCAACGAGACAACTACATTCGATCTGTTAAACTTTTACCTGACGGCCGTACATTAATTGTTGGTGGTATGTATTTAGATGTTCAATGGAAGCAGTTCTTCAAATTATTTTCGCTTATTTCACATGATTTTATTTTTGTTACACAAAAAAGGTGAAGCATCGAATCTATCGATTTGGGATTTGGCCAGTCCGACACCTCGAATTAAAGCTGAACTTACATCATCGGCTCCTGCATGCTACGCGTTGGCAATAAGTCCGGATTCAAAAGTGTGCTTTTCATGTTGCAGTGATGGTCACATTGCCGTTTGGGATCTACATAATCAAGCATTGGTGCGACAATTTCAAGGGCACACAGACGGTGCATCTTGCATTGATATAAGCCCCGACGGTAATCGATTATGGACGGGTGGATTGGACAATACAGTTCGCTCATGGGATTTGCGAGAGGGACGACAATTGCAACAGCATGATTTCAGTTCACAAATATTCTCGCTCGGGTATTGTCCGACTGGTATGTGTATATTGAATTTATTTAAATTGAAAATTCAAAAACTCAACTCTATTCAATCAATTTTGTTGGTTAAACAGGCGATTGGTTGGCAGTTGGAATGGAAAATTCACATGTAGAAGTGTTGCATGCCAACAAACCCGACAAATACCAATTATTGTTACATGAAAGCTGTGTACTCTCATTACGCTTCGCCACCTGTGGCAAATGGTTCGTTTCAACCGGCAAAGATAACTTGCTAAATGCTTGGCGAACACCGTACGGCGCTAGTATATTTCAGGTAAATTTATTTGATTTTTTTTTTTTCATTCAAAGCGACCAGTAAAATTAACGAGTTTCTTTTTTTCGTTCAATGCAGTCGAAAGAAACTTCATCAGTGCTAAGTTGCGATATATCTGCTGACGACAAATACATAGTGACTGGATCGGGTGATAAGAAGGCTACTGTTTACGAAGTTATATACTAAGCAAACATTAATGGTTTCTCATTTTCATCGTTCATTCTTTCAACTGACAAAGAAGAGAAAATCACGAATAAGAAGAAAAGAAGAAGAAAAACATAAAGAAAATAACGCATAACATGGAACCAATACGAATTGTGTAAAAAGATGTTCAATGGAAAAAAAAAGAAAAATAATTATGTAGAATTTAATGATGATCGCATTGAAGAAGAAAAAGAAATGTGTAGAAATTAAACCAAAATTACTTTAAAATATAAATAAAAAAAACTTGACAGAGAATTTCGTGTAATTTTAAAATCTATTGTACAATTTTAAATTTAAAATACATTTTATTGAAATGACAGAGAAACACTATGGTACTCCTCATATTAATGAACACATTAAACGATCACAATTTGAGCAATGTATAGATAATTTGTTTGTCGTTGGTTTTGTGTGAAAAGTGAAAACTGTTCGATTACATTTTTGGCAACTCGAAGCTGTGCAACAATACCAACAAATGAATGACAACATTGAAAATGATTTTACCAACTTAATTTAGAAATCAAAACAAATAAACAGTTTAATAAAACGAAGCTCTAAATGTCTGATGAAATTTAGTTGATAAATGCAATTTTTTTAAATGTGAAAACACACGAAGATTAAACTATTATCAATAGCATAGAAAAATGTCAAATGTTAAGTGTCAATGAAAAAAAAATCTATATACAATATTCTCATTTAAATGTACTAATAACTAATGCAATCGAATGGAATTATTATTTCTCAAAATGTTCTGCATCTGATCTTGTTCCCCTCCCCCTATCCCCAAATATATACATAAAATTAGGTTGTCAACTCAACAATTAGAACCGCGTTGAAGATTTTTTCTTTTTGTTCGGCACTATAGAGTTGTTCGGCTAAATAGCACCTATATTTTTTGATTATACAATAAAAAAATGGAAGAAAACGAAGCGAAACACTGGATTTCAGACCGATTTCATTCACGCCATTTCATTTATAAATGAAGCATTTTTACAGATTTAAAATGGAAGATGAACTCATATTTAGAGTTTATTCAATATTTAAGAGTTAAATGGTTACTAAATCTGAATGTGTATTGTTAATATTCGAATAATAATTCAATGCTAATAAGTAAATTTCCTTGCAACAGCTGAACAATATAAATTGCAATTCACGATGTACGATTTAAGAAGGGACAAAATGAACAAAAACCATTTTAGATTTTAAACTTTGAAAATTCAGCTCTGGAAACCGTTTAAAAAAAAAGAAAAAGAAGAAGAAGAATAAATGTGAAGAACGACAGATTGCAATTCAAAATAAAACAATGAACATTGAAAATAAAAGAAGCATGTTTTATTTCACCATCATCTTTAACATTTTCTAGTTTCAACATTATTTTCGCCCTCTTCATCTGACTCATTTGAAGGTAAGGTCATTTTCAAACTACGATTTACTATGGATTTTACGTCGATTTTGAAGTTTCAATGATTGAGCATATTGTAATTTGAGCCAAATACCATGACACATTTTATATATTCGATTATCGCCCGCCAATCGTTCTTCTTTTGCATATTCGTATTGACTTAATATCAGTTTTCTTGCCGCATTCAATTTACCCTTTTGAATCAGTGATATGCTGTAATACAGTTTGCATCGTACAATTATCGATGGGTCTCCACTTCTGGACGCCAATTTCAATTGATACCTTGATATTTTTCCTGCTACATCAGCCTAAATGACAGAATATAAAAACTCATCAACACATTTCTACTGGCGACCAAATTTCAAGTGTCTTACACATTTTTCAACTGAATCACCTAATGCAGAGAAGGCACCGCCAAGCGTTGACAGCCATGACATTAAATTCTCTGTCTCAACGTATTCCCATGTTAATAATGTCGCTCGTTGGCACCTGTAATCATCAAAATCCACATTAAAAATCATCACAAAACAAGTGTATGTTTCACAACAAATTTACCAAGCATAATCGATTAGTCCGCCATTGATCGGCTCAACGATGCAAAACAACACTGTTGAATTTAATTCTTTTAACAGGTAAAATACTCGTCGACGAAATCGATTGAGCAAATTGAATTCTTTTACAGCATACACTAGCTGATTTGGAGTTATAGCTTTGGTTACGCCAGCACCATCGATTTCATCAACTGCCTCAATGATGGTACATTTGTTTTGTTTTACGATAGAAAATGTATAATATGAATCAGGCAGCTTTACGATGAATGAAACTGGTTTCATTTTAGAATGTTCACGTTCATCTAATACAAATTTAAAGCTATGGAATTCGAACACAATGTTATTTGCTTTGGATGTTGTTTTGGTCTAGAACATTTTTGACTACTGTCATGACAGAATTCAGTATATGACAGCACTGTGTTTATGTCAATTCTTTTATGGAACGATATAACCTCAAATATTTAAAACAAAAACAACAGTTCATAACACGCAATAAATTTATCTTCAATAATTCAATTTATCACATTCATTCTTCTCATAAATATAAAAGTCGGTAGTTTTGTAATTTCTTTGTGGCAAAAGATGAAATAAACAAACATTTATTTTAAATTGTTGAGTTATGATGAACTTTTTAACACAACATTTTTGAATTTTTGCCTGGGATTTAGCCGACAAATTCCACCGATCAATTCATTTGAAATGTTATCAAGTATGCTCTGAATGAATCTACAAGCCAACCTCCCTGAAGCAAATCGTGGTAAATTTCTATATTTCTAAAAAAAAGTATTTACTCTGGGAAACTTTGAGTTAAAGAGCCTTAACGGCTCTGAACAGTCTTAAAAATAGCTGAAAAAAGAGTTCACTAAAAGAAAAAAAGCTGCATCATTCTGTTGTTTTGAGACCCTAAATGATGCGTCCCAAGGGTATTTGCTAAAAAATGAATCGATCTTCTTCTTCTCTGTTAATTTAATTATTTTATTAGATTTTTTATTCACCTTTGACACAAGCTTTTTACAAGGGGTAGACACAAATGTTCACTATACAAAACTAAAAGTATACTAGAATCTACTAGAAGCTACTAAAAGAATATTTGTGAACAAATGTTCATATTGATACTTCTACTGATCCATACAAAATACATTGCCAATACTTTTCTTATGATGAGATTAGCGGTACATTTTTGTAAACAAAATATTGTAACAATCGTTTCAATTGTTCTCTGTATAGATGCAGATTAATTGCGTTTTTGTTTGTATACTAAAAGACACTAAATACATATTAAATGAAACTAAATATAATAGAAATTGGTGTCTATCCCCTAGGACACAAGTGACGTATCTGTGGAATAATAATTTAGATGTTGACAATAATGTAAGTGAAAATATATGCGAATTTTATTGTTTTAAGTGGTTCAATTGGAATTCTATATTATTTCGAAGAAATTGCATCATACCAATTTATGTGGTTAAATTCATTTGAATTCTTATTCTATCAGTTGATACTGAAACCCGAAGTGAAAGAGTTGATTATTTTGATCATTTGATGCTCGCGCTGTGATCTAAAAAAGTAAATTTTGCTGTGGTGTGACAACTTGCCTTAATTAAAAACTAAAATTGAACAAAATGCAGAAATTTCTAGTTTATGCCATCTTTTTTGCGGCCGGCAAGTATTCATTTTTTTTTTTTTGATAATCAAAGATACAAAAAATCCAAGCAAATTGGTGAATTTCAATATTAATTTATTCTCCGGTTTTGAATTCATCTATTTTACAGTTCATAGTGTACTGGCATACACTTTGACTGGCCAAGTCGAAAGCATAGCATATCCAACGAGCACATCATCATGTTTTTGCTACATCGCGGTCAAAGATGAAGGGTCATCTTCCCGAAGTTTATATTATCATGAAGTGAAACGTGAGCAAGTTTGTAGATTTGCAGAACGATGTAAAGAGTTAAATGTGTATGTTAAGGCAACAGCAGAAGCGGCAGCGTTGGGTGCAAATAAAATAATAACTATTGAACATGGCAACACATCTGCTAAATGGTGGACATTATAATTTTTTTTGAAAGAAATTGATTTATTCCTTTTTTATTTTCATAGCCACTTGTACTCGCTCAAATAAACTAAATCGCACATATATTCAAAATATCTCTAATTATGAACAGATTTTTATTAGATATTTTATATGCATTTTTTGTAATTAATTTAATAAAGTTGAAAATTTTGTTTAAAAAAAAAACAATGTTGAATAAAGTTTCAATCTTCAAGTTTCTACAACATTTATTTATACGAAATTATACGATTTTTTTTTTCAAAAGATTTTTTGAGAGAAAAAAGAGAATTTGAATTGCACTTTTGGTTATGATATGCTATGATATGAAAGTTTAATTGTAATTTTCATTAGAGTAAACTCTCATTAAATATTCAAATCAAATCTTTTATGATCAAACTGGCGACTTAGCTACAGGGATAGAGGTGATATATTGGGGGACCATCAATACAGTGGCGGTAGTGTCTTTGACGTGTTTGTAGAAGGAATACAACAGAATCCAAAAATAGGTTACTGGGACTGAAAACATATTAAATTAAATCATGTATTATTAAACCTTTTAACTAGATTCAAAAATAATTTCTTCCATTTTGTAAATTACTCTCAATTGGTCTCTATTTTATATATTATATATGGAAATATATTTTCTATTACTGGCGCGAAGTACGTTGGTCTACCCAGCCTCACTGTACGCACTTTATTTCGATAGCACTTCAAAATATCCTCAGCTCCAGAGCAATACGGATGTTCAAAATTATCATTTAATGGAAATTTATATTTTACATGATACGGTTGACTATAGCGCCAAAACATGATATAAAAAATATTTATATTGCCTACTAAGAAAAATTCTGCCACTGAAGCAGCAATAATGAAAAAGATAGTTTAAATCGAACACCCAAGACGTTTACAAGCCAATCGTAAGGGTATTAAATTTATATTCAACTTATCTGGTGAATCAATTAATTTGGTGAAAATGCCTAAAGAAAAATCAAACCGTGTGAAGTGCCTCTCAATGAGAACTGATTGCTTAACAAGTATTGATAAAATGTATTTAACCCGAATGCACTTTAAAAATAGTTTTCTACCCATATCGATAATGGTATGAACTATGAAGTTCCGACAGTCCATGATTTGACTGTCTTGGAAATTTATGAAAATATTTGTTCGAATTGCAAAGAATCAAAAATATCGATAATATAAAATCAGAGCTAGGTTGAAAAAGATATTACAATAGAGTTCATAAATTTGGGGTTAAAATTATGAGACAGTTATTTGGGATTGCAATGTCATCATTGTACCAATTTGGGGAAAAAAATGTTATTTCGTATCTCATTAGGAAAACTATTCTATTCTCCACGGATATTTTGAATGTATTTGCATCATAAGTGCATTTTTACTCTGAGAACAATTGTTCATTAGGTCATAAATTCAACAATATTATTAAATCGATATAACAATGAAATACATTACATTTCAACCAAATCAAGTAGAAAATCGTTTTAAAAAGTTCGGCACATATTTCATATAATGAATTTATTTTATTTTCAAATTCCATGTTCATTGTTCACAGCGCCGCGCGTTGAAATCAAAATGAACTAAATCTGACATATTGTATCCCAAACCAAACATAATGCAGCTGTCATAATTAGTAAATTCGCACCTAGTGTCTACAAATGGTATATTTTAATGTTTTGAGTTAATTTTGCATCAGTTAAACGTGAACCTTCATCAAATATAATTCTGTTTAAATGTTTACGTGAAACTAAAGAATAAACCGATAAAATGAATGTGAAAAAAGCAATCGATCCGCTGCAATTGTGCCGAATATGTGCGATTGACGTTGCTGACGATACATCACATTCACTTATTGAAAAAGATCAAATCACCAAATTGGGCGAGAAATTTATTTCATGTCTCGGAATTCAGGTAAATAAAATAATGCATTTAACACGACAAAAGATTAATCTGTTTAATTTCTACAAAAAAAAAAAATAGCTTATGAAGGAAGGATATCCAGAGCGTGTTTGTGACTATTGTCAATCTCAGTTGAATACATTTGATGCATTTGTACGAAAGGCAAGGACAACGTCGAATCAGTTTGAAAGTATACTGCAGGAGTTGAAACAAAATAATGTGGATGAAGAAAACGAACATTTCGAAGATCAATCGGATGAGACGGTAAATAATAATGAACTGTTGGCAACGACAGATATGGACTTTGAAATTTCCAATGATGAAGTGTCAGCAAAAAAAGTGTCCAATCAATCGATCGAAGTGGAATTTCTCGACGAAAAAACCAAAGCGGAGCTTGTTAGAGGAGGTGTTATCATTCCAGCCAATGGAGACGAAGGTTTGATATTGTATTTTGTCCCCCGATCAATTGTTACACATGAAATTACAATTTGGTTTTTGTTTCTCTGCAGATGAATATACGATTGAATATTTAGAACCGGAGTACATGAATACATTTGTTGATGAAATAACGCAAAACGAAGAATATGAGGATGATGACGAAGATCAGCATTCAGAAACACAGGGACAAGATGGCAAAAATAACGCAGAAAGTCGACCAAAGAGAACATACCCGTATAAATGCGCCAAGTGCAATAAACGTTTTGTTTACAAAGAGGTTTACGAGGCGCATATTCGTATTCATAAAGGCTTACCGGGTTTTTCGTGTCCGCATTGTCCGAAAACATTCAACGAAAAATCAAATTTCGATTATCACATGCAAGACCACACCGGTATGCCGTTATTTATTTATTTTGATAAGCAATATTTTTGACGATTCATTTCTTCCTTCAGGTATAAGACCGGCAAAGTGTCATCTTTGCGAGAAGAGCTTCAAAAATAAACAAGATCTGGCTTCCCACATTCGGTGCCACAAGGTAAAATATTTTCCTATTGTTAGACATTCCTATTGTCTTTTTTTCTCGTTAAAATATAAACAACAGACATTTTTTTCATATCTGTATAAAAATTATTTTCGTCCCCAAGGACATTCGCAAATATATGTGTGATGTGTGTGGAAAACGGTTTCGTTCACAAAGCCATATGACCTATCATCGGTATGCTCATTTTGAAGAAAGAAATTTTGCCTGCGACCAGTGTCCACAAAAATTTAAATCACCACACATACTTCGAACACACAGAAACACCGTACATTCAACCGTATTTCGCTACGAATGCGAACAATGTGGACGCAAATTCAAACGAGATCATCACTTAGTGGTAAGTTAAATGGTTTGTAAAATCGAACAAAAATGTCATTAGTCATCTTTGAATGAATACTAACCTTTATATGTAATGTACGATACACAGGCACATAGACGCACACATAACAAAACACCAAACAACCGGAAGCCACGGAAAAAGAAAGCCGAAAAAGCAGCTGATTCAACGTATGAAGTTGTTGAGATGATTAAACAAGAAGAAGAACTCGACATTAACTTCGAGGAAGAGACATATGACGAAGAATTCATAACCGACGACTAATTGTCCAATTTTATTATTGCTAGACCATGTACATTATAAAGTAGAAATTTATAAGAATATTTTCATATTTTTATCGATTGTTTATAAACAGAAAAATCCAATAAATAATAAGTAAATAATTATCGAAAACGGCAAGTACCAAACAGATTTGGAAAAGATATTAAGCGGTTAAATACCAGTGTTTAAAACATATGTTATATGTATATGTCACATATCACATTTCTATTGGAAAGAAGACAAAGAAGAAAGGTAAAAAATCAACAAACATAACTTTCGCTGTAACACCGAACGAAGCGGATCGAATCTATTCTTTATTTATCAAGCGACATATATGAGTTTGGAAGCTGATCGTTATTTACCCTCTGATCAAAAAGTTCTCGGAAATCGCGAATTAAATCGAGCGCGGTTCGCGTATGATCAAATTTATTTTTTTGTTAGGTTTGTAGTATCGACCTCGATACATGTGCAAAAATTGTGGGCAATATGTTAGCTAGTATGTGTTGGACAGCGGTTTGTTTTGGTCAATCCGAGTGCGTTTTTCGATTTTTTACAATGGATAAATTAACTGAACAAAGAGTGTGTTTGAAATGTTGTGTTTTGAATGAAATTTCTTGTGCGGATACATTAAAAATGATACAGAAAGCCTTTGAGGATATTTCCATCAAGAAAACAACATCATCCGAATGGCGCGAAAAAAACGAGCCGAAACCCAAAAAACCACGTCAAAGTCGGTCGAAAGTGAAAGTGTTGCTGACGGTATTCTTTGATTATCGTGGTGTTGTTCATTACGAATTCTTGCCAGAAGGTCAAACCGTCAATAAAGAGTATTATCTGGCTGTTATGAAGCATTTGCGCGAGAAAATTCGCTTGAAAAGACGAGAATTGTGGACCGAAAACTCATGGATTTTGCATCACGATAACGCGCCATCCCGTACGACTCTCGTTGTTTGTGAATTCTTGGCAAAAAAAATCAAACCAAAGTCATTGCTCAAGCACCGAATTCGCCAGATATGGCTCCGTGTGATTTTTTTCTTTTCTCCAGACTCAAATTGCCACTGAGGGGTAAGCATTTGGACACAATTGAAAACATCAAACAAAAATCGAAAAAAGCCTTTAGCGAGATTTCAGCGCCGGCCTATGCCAAGTGCATGGATGAATGGATCAAACGTTGGGAAGCATGTGTTAATTCTAATGGTAAGGGAGAGTGTCCGGTTACGAGACACGTTTTCTCTTTCTCACTCTTTTTTAGTCATAGTCTATATTATGCAGGGATTTATACATGCATCTTTATAAATACAAAAAATAACAGTGTTTATTTATTGTGAAAGCCTCTTAAAGCAATCAAGAATACAAATGGCATTTTTTCTTAATTTTACTCCATTTCTTGATCCTCTTCCAAGTCCAAGTCAGAGTCGCAATGTTTGCAAATGGAGTAGCTTCTACGCATGTCCGCACGCTTCAAATGAACCGGCCGTTCGCACGAATTGCACTTGATAGAATTGGCAGCGGTTAATTTTTTCGGCATTTTCTTGATGCAAATGATACAAAAGTCATCATCTTCAGAGGCAGATGATGGCGATTGGTCCTCTTTGGATGTCGATTTCTGTGTTTTGGCGCGTTCAGTTGGTGGTTTTGCCTTTTTCGATGCTGCTTTTTTCGGAATTACTTTATCTTTTCTTTAAGCTGCCTTCTTCTTTAGAGAAGCTATGTTTCCTGGAGAAGTCAATACACTACTTTGCATTGCTTTTCGGCCTCTATTAGATGGCTTTTTTGGAGTACCAACTTGTAACGGACCAATTTCATCCAGAAGGGATGACGAACTGGTAGCACCAGACAAAGATGTAGATGGTCGGGATGTTGATGGTTCTGATGACGACGCGCCCTTGTTGATAACAATATCTGTGAAATCGGCCAAAACAATACGCCGCTGTTCCGCCTCATTTTGATTAGCCTCAACTGAGACTGCCGCTGCATTTTGCTCTACGGCCTGGACATAGTCTGCATCAGTAAACTTATCTCGATTGAATGGCCAGATGCCAGTTGTCTCAAAACCCGCTTTGATCACTTTTGGCGTTAACGCCAAATCCAAAGCAGCACAGACTAGACCGGCTATATGGCGGATTTCAAGTGCTTTATTGGCGTTGTTCTTTTGCCAAGCACTGCATTGCAATGCATAGTAGCCCTTGACAGGTCCATACACAGAGACATCTAACGGTTGCATTTTGTGGCTACAATGCGAAGAAAATGAAAGTAAATGCACACCGCATCTGCCGCTAAGTCCAGAGTAGGGTGGCCAAAAAAAAAAATTTTTTTGCTACTTAATGGACCGGGCCGGTTTCCACTATTTTCGGGCCCGAGAAATCGATTTCCGGTGAAAAAAATATAGGTTGATGTACTCCTAAGCTCGCTCGAGAGCTACCAATATATCAAGGAAAGGCCGATTTTCATGCATTTCACGTATTTTTGAACTTTTTTTCTCAAACATGATAAACGTTTTGTTTTTTAGGCTTAATCAGTAGTTCGTGGATGGTACTTACCCACCAGAACGATTTTAAGCACCAATGATGTTTTTTGACCATAATCTTCCGGGTCCGTTTTTCGAAATTTCACAAAAACTTCGATTTTGATGAACCCTTTAATTGCAATACTCACTGCCAATGAAAAATCATGGAGGTCTATTACTCTAAATCGATAGCCGGGGACATAATATGCATGTTAGGGGTGTATTTCAGCATCTTTTGATCAATTTAAATTAAGTTGACCGAACAGATTTTTTACATTTCAAAGATTTTTAACCATTACCTACCGATCGGAGCGGATCGGAAGGTTTGATTCATACTATTTTTTGAGATATGACTTTAATTCACTCTGTATTAATTAGCTGGTGTCTAATGGACACTATTTAAGCATTTTGAATGTATGAATCCACTCATAACATTGTATCGATGGTTATTCGACAGTTGGAAAAATTTGATTTTTTTGGATTTTTTGTGAAGCATAAATATTACTATACTTTCAATATTTATGTTTATTTTATTTATGAAAAATGAATTTCATCAGAAAAATCTATGAGAAAAATGCATTTTAGGACAAGAAACCTTTATCGTTTATCAATATTATCAATAAAAAAAACTGGAACATTTCGATTTTCAAATGAGTTATTTTTTATTTTGCAAAATGATAAAATTGCTGTCTAACTAAATTTTTTAACATAATTTTTTTTTTATTATAATCGGGATACATAGCTGTGTATGCTTTTTTTACTTGTAATATATCCTGTTAGTGGGCACAGTGGCTACTACGACTACTGCGGCACTATTCGATCAACTGAGTTAAGCTGCACACGCTTTGGTCAGGAGATAAATGGGTGACCGTTTAGAACATCGTATGTAGTCGTAAAATACTGTGTCAACCGTGTCTGTGTACAACAAAGGTATGGATTTCAGCACAGACACGTAAAATAGAAATCCAACGCCATATAGAATATGGCAAAAATCATAAGAAATGTAGGATACAATCGGCTGATCACCGATTTATCTGAATTAATTGATCAACAGAAACCAGAAAGATAAGAATTCTTATCTCAAGGCCCTATGCTCCACTAGGAGTTAAGGGAAAAAGAAAAATATATCCTGTAATGTTTCTTCTTTTTTTGTTAGTTTTTCATTGAATTCTTCCATCATTTTGACGTTTCGCTCCGCATCGTCGTTTACTACATCTAGCGTAGAAAGCATTTCTTGGTATGCAAGTGGAACTTGGAACAGTTTGTAACCCCAAATACAATGCAGTTTTTTGAACGCTTTGAAATCTCACCATTATTTTTACAAAAAGACCCTGCACAGTGGGAAGATGACGAGGACTACCGCAGTGCGAAAGAAATGCTTTCTACCAAAAATTTGATTTTCTGCAAAATGTCGACCAAAAATTCTTTGAAATATTGTAAATTTGGATGCGTTTTTCTTTCAATCCGTTCACAAAAGGATTGATTTTATTCAATCAAAACAAGAAAACTCAATATGAATAATTTTGTATGCCTTTTAAAAGTTTCTATTTCAGAAGAGGATATCATGGTAATATTACTTTTCCGCACACCTAGTGTAGGGAAGGTATTGTATTAGGCCAAAAAATTAAAGTCATCCCAAAACATGTTTTCTATGCATATTTAATGAGAAAACACGATTGGAGATGATTTTGGGGCATATTAATGTGCGTCGCTGTGTGTGATGTGTCCTGTGTCCTGTGACCTGTGACCTGTGTCCTGTGTCCTGTGTCCTGTGTCCTGTGTCCTGTGTCCTGTGGCGTGTTGCCAAAATTTGTTAACTCGATAAATCTTCTTCCAAAAACTCAATTCAAATTCTGACTTTGCAGGATGATTTGGGACTACTAGGAGACGTGCTGATTAGTTTTTGAGCAATATCTGTTGACCGGTGTAATTTTTTTGGTCCGAATGGAGTACCCAAATCCATACATTTTACTTTTTTGATCATTTTTCAACCATTTTGGTGACACGATGGTTTCGTGCCCAGACATGAAATTCAAAATCTGACTTTACGGGATGATTGGGCACTATGAGGAATATATCTGGTCAAATTCTCAACGACATTGATCGATCGGTGTAAAACTTAGACTCTCAAGAAGCACTTATGAGAAAAATGCCTTAAAATGATATTCTTTCAATTTGAACGCTGAAAGACTGTGTAGTGGGGGGTTTTTTGGAACGAGAAACCCGAATCTGATGTTAGTTTTAAGATGCAATCAATTTTTCATAGACTTTTCATAGAAAAATCCACAAAAAATTTCATTTTTGTATGAAAGACCTGCCTTTGTGGTACCGTTATGATGTGAAACTTTGAACAGGCAATTTTTTTGATTGAAATTGCTTTAAACTTGGTGTGATTATTTACTTTGATAAGAAAATAATATTCACAAGTTTTCACGGTAATTTAAATTACTTCAACCATACATAGAACATAATTTCTGTTTATTCCCAAAAGGGGATCTTAGATAATAGTAAATTTTTAATTTGACTATTTATCAATAGATGGCGACACATAAAATAGCAACTTCGAAACAGATACGCATTTCCTATATGGACACTCGCCCAAATGTCGAACTATTTGTTTGAATTTTCAACTTCAATTTAATATTTAACACTTTTGATTTCATCTAAAAATATCATTCTATACACAATTCTATGCAGAATTTAATTGTGCTTCATTTCACAATTGTCAAAAGAAAGAAATTTCCAAAAATATATTAATATTTTCCATTTTTCCGTCGTAACATTGAAAATTCCAAATGTCGGATATTCGTCGTCCAATTCTCGGCTCCCAAATCTCGACATATTTCATGAATTTTCACTGCGAAATTTGAACAACTTTAAGTTTTGACAGCTATAAAGTGTATTAATGTTGAAAAACAAAATAAAAGTTTCATACTTTTTTCAATTTTTGACAGCTCAGGAACGCATTCTTTACATTGAGGTAAACAATACAAAATATCGAAGTTGAAATTATTAGATTGATATATTTTTGCTGCATATTTAATTTTATTTATTTTTTCATAATAAAATAGCAAAAATATTTAAAAATATTACGTTATTTCACTGATCTATGATATTTTTGGTTTGAATTTCACAATGATCCAAATATCGACTTTAACTGTCACATCTGTCAAATTCAAAGTATTTCACTTGAAAATTGGGTGCTTTATGTATCGGCAATTGGACGATTTATTCCGGAATAATATTACAGTGAAAAATGAAAAACAAATATAATTGTTTTTCTTTATATTTTCAATATTTCTGTTCAATAACTAAATTAAAGTATCTACAATTCGCAGACATATATTTTTTTCCAAATTAGTTATTTCTTCATATAAAAAAATGCATTTTACCGGCTTGTTTACTTTTGACGTGAAAAAGTGATAAAAATACCGAATTTTTTTGAACGTAATTTGTGAAAACAATAATAGATTTTTGATTAAAATTTGGATTATAATAAAGAGATTTGATATTGATCTTTCATAATTTACTTTTAAAAATGCAATTAAAATGAATTTTCAACTTTTAATTTCAATTCACCTCTCGGTATTCCGACATGTGTACTGTATACACAATTCGATGAAGAATTTAATTGTGCTTCATTTCACATTTCTCAAAAGAAAGTATTTTCCAAAAATGTATTATTTTTTTCCATTTTTTCGTCGTAACATCGAAAATTCCAAATGTCGGATATCCATCGTCCAAATCTCGACTCCCTAATCTCGACACATTTCATAAATTTTCACTGCGAAACTTGTACTCGTACAACAAGTGTCACGAAACATAATCGTTAGCACCGATGGATTTTTCGAATACACTCAGTGCTATAAATCACTTGATGATGCGCCATTCGAGTGTTTGTTTCTTCAAGATATGTCGGAAAGAAGTTACGAAATGATAAACAAAGATGATTTGACTGTTCAACGTGAGAATTATTTCAAAAATGGTTATAATCCAGACCTGGAACTATTTTGTAATTATGTTGACATGACCATAGTCAATGCCATCACTGATGATAGTGACGTTCACCTTTTGTGAAGTTATACGAACAAAATCAGTTTGACACTTTGTTGAATTGTGTTGACGGAAATGAGGCTGAACCATATTCAGTGATAATACATGGTGATATTTGGTCGAACAATGCGATGTTCAAGTTAAACAGCAAAACACAGCCGCGGAAAACATGCCTTATCGAATGGCAGATGTCACGCTATGCATCACCAGCTTTGGATATCGTTCACTACATTTTCATTAGTACAAAGCGAGAACTCCGAGGTCACAACTATAACACTTATCTAAAGGCATACCATGAAAGTTTGACGAATCATTTGATAAGGCATTTGGAAGTATTGCTTTCTTCAACCATGGGGTCAATCACGAAATTCTAGTGCATCTAGAAAATTCTAGTGCGTGAAGTTGGCTCTCAGTAGTTTTTCATATAAATTATATGGCCTTTGGAGTGAAGTTGGCTTCGTTTGTGACGCCATTCTTCGCACTAGATTTACTAATTTTTCTAGTATTCACTAGCGTGATTCGCCCCATGTCTTCAACAAATTCTTTTTTTTCTTTTGAAAAAAATTAAAATATCGCCTAATTAAATGTGTCCCGATTTTAGACTCGGCTCGAACCCAGAAAAAATATTTCCATACAGCGCATTACAAGATCAGCTGCGAAAGTTTGGAAAATTTGGCTCATGGCAATGGAGGTTGGTTTATCTACAAATGGGCCAAACAATGGTCGAAACGAAAAAACAGAGAAACATGCCACCAAAGTATCCGACGCATTTAATAAACGTATTCGTGGGTGATATGTATCGATTGGGATATATTTAAATCCACAAACCACCCTCATATTTCTTATACTACCACAGAGTGTATTTATTTCATTTCTTTTATTGTTGTATACGTATAAAAAGTCATATTCACTCTGGAATTTATAGAGTGCGTCAGTGTGAGGGGAAAAATTGATTATTTTCGCTTTATAAATAGGAAAGTATTTACTGAACTCATATTTCAATAATTGTATTATAATCATAACTAAGTTTGCAGCGTCTGCTGAGAAGCCGTTATTTGCACCGAGAGTTCGTCTGCCCGATGGAAATTCGATTCCTGTGTTGGGTCTCGGCACTAGCTGGGTAAAATTCTTTAATTTTCTTTTTTTCTTTTTTTGTGTTTTGTGCTAAGCATATTGATGATAAAAGATGCAATTGACATTGGATATCGTCACATTACACGCTGAGGGTGAAATTAAACGTGAAGACATTTTTGTCACAACAAAGGTACATTACCGTTACTATACCTAGGAGGGTTAAAATTTACAAATAAAAAAAATTGAGAAAAAAAAAATATCGAATCAAATTGACAATTCTCTCAGTGACGCCTCAACCAAAATCGTATGCTGTCGCGTAATGTACAATGTACATTGTACATATGTACGTTGAACTGTCAACGAAAACAAAATGTCAAAACTGCATACAAAACTCCATACAAACTAAATGAATCTGTCAAAGTAATATGACAACGTCGTTCATTAGTTAACCAAGTGTTGAATATAATGTTGTCATTTTTCGTAATTCCAATTGAAATTATTGAGTTTTAGTATCAACCATCGCCGATTGATTAGAGTAACTTGCGAAAAAGAGGTAAGATAAAATCGAAAAATCGAAATTAACCAAAGAACAAAACCCATTAAATGTGATTCTATCAACAGTATTGCGAATGGTCTAAAACATTTAGTTCATTGATAGTATGTATGTATTCTTTGTAATTTCGACGCCATTGTTATTGCCTTGTTTTGACTTATGGAGAAAGAGAGAGTGAGAAAAAAATATCAAATATTCATGAATTATTTACTAATTACTTACTGAAATTACATTGAAATTGGCCTTTTGCATGAATCTTCAATATCATCCCATGTAGTAGGTGAAAAATCGCGAAAAATGAAAAAAATTATTAAACTTCTTTTCTTCGATTTACAAATACTACTCAATTTTCTGTATCACCTGGTGAAATCAGAATGAAAAAAATCGCATTCCATATCATCTGAATCACGATCTGGACTTTTTTCACTGTTTAAGTGCTCTATACCGAGTGTCCGAGAGTTTCATATAAACTTGCTATGTGATACCTATTGAATAGTAAGCGAATACCAATCGTGATTGAATCAATAGGAATTTTAATAAAATTTCTATTAACATTCTAATAAAAAATCTACTAAAATTCTAATAAAAAATCTACTAAGACCTAATAATTAGTAGTTGTTAGTAGCTAGTAAAATAATAATTATTACTTCTTAGTGGCTACTAAGAATTACTAAATAATAAAGTACTAATGGAAAAAATCTACTAACTAATAAGAATTTTTATTAATTATTATTTATTAGTTACACCAATGATTTTATTTTCACGATTGTTTTTTTTTATGTGAGTGAATTACGTTATCCATGGCACAAATGTATATAGGTTGGCTCTAGTTGTATGCAAGGGTATCGAATTTACATGGAAGACAGTCATACACATATTTTGTCTCTGCTTGACGATCCGAGAACGTCGTTTCTTGCTGTTTATGATGGCCATGGCGGTGCCAATATTGGTAAATATGCTTCAAAACAAAAAAAGGTATTTGTTAGCTCTGATCTAAACATTGAAATAAACAAAACCCTGAGACAATGACAAGGATGTCTTTAGTTACCACTTCAATCATTCAATTGTTACAGGCTTTCTTGAATATCGATGAAGCATTGCTAACCTCGGAAGAATTAAAGCATGAAATGGGTGGTTCAACAGCTGTCGTTACATTGATCAAAGATAAGAAGCTGTATTGTGCAAACGCAGGCGATTCACGAGCCATTGCATGTGTTAATGGACAGGTATGTAGAACGAGTTGCACTTAATTCTTAATAAGTGCGTTTGCATCAAGATTCTTGGCATACATTTGACTTAAATTGAACATTTTTTTAACGTTTCCAACAGGCAATCGCATTGTCAGTCGATCACAAGCCAATTCTACCAGTTGAAATGCAACGAATACACGAAAGTGGTGGTTGGGTTGAGAATTGTCGTGTAAATGGTAGCTTGGCTCTGTCACGTGCATTGGGTGACTTCAAGTTCAAGCAAAACAAAAAGCTTAAGGCTGAACGACAAATTGTCACTGGTAAGTGATTTGGTTGATGCTTACATCGAAAAACGATTTAATAACATTGAAACAGAGATTTGCTCAGCGCTGCTGCCATCCACAGCATATTAAAATATCTTGCTGAGAATGCGTCGTCCGTTGCATGCGAAGGTACGTAGCAGTTTATACATCACAGCGAACAACAATACATGCATTGTTCTCTATTCAATCGTTTGAATGTTTTGAGTCACATAATCGTGAAGAGAACAATAGATTCATTCTTGTTCGCTGTGATGTATAAACTGCTACGTACCTTCGCATGCGACGGACGACGCATTCTCAGCAAGATATTTTAATATGCTGTGGATGGCAGCAGCGCTGAGCAATACTCTGCATTGAAATGTTAATTGAATTACAGCTTATCCAGATGTTGAAATTCACGACGTCGATGAAACATGGGACTTTATATTGTTGGCGAGTGATGGTATTTTGGATGTGTTGACAAATGATGATGTTGTCAAATTGTGTTTGAAGAAAATGGAGAAGGGCATACCACCAGAGCAAATTTGCGAAGAAATAATGACTGAATGTTTGTCACCCGATTTACTGATGACCGGTACAGACAACATGACAATGGTTTTGATATGCTTTCTTCACAATAATTCATACGAAGTTTTTTGCAATCGGGCCGCTGACTATTGTCTTCGTTTGTTTCCCGACGATGAAAAATTTCAAACAAAATCGGTTGAAAGCCAATTTGCAAAAAGTGAAAATGCAGAGGCTGGAGCTGTGATAACACAAGGTGATGGCGAAGATGATGTGGCTGAAGATTCAATCTCAAATTCCGTCGAAAATGTTGAAGAAAACAAAGTTTCCAGCGCTGGTAGTCAAAGCTCCGGAGAAAAAATATCAAGCGACACTATACAAATTTTTGTCAAGACATTGACTGGTAAGACCATCACATTAGAAGTCGAACCATCCGATACAATCGAGAACGTTAAGGTCAAGATTCAAGACATGGAGGGTATTCAACCAGATCAACTGCGTTTAATTTTCGCCGGTAAACAGCTCGAAGATGGTCGCACATTAAGCGACTATAACATCCAGAAGGAAAACACAATTGATTTATTTTTAGGTTCGAAGGGAGGCATGGATCCATCGGATAGTGGTCAAGAAAGTGACGCTCCTTCGCCGCCACCACAATCTGGACGCGGTCGATACGAGACACTTGTGGAAGATATTACTGATTCTGAGGTTGAGAATCTTCTGTCTAGTTCTCCAAGTCCAGAATCCTCTGAGTTTTCAGATGATGAAGAAAACGCCGAAGAAAATCGGTTTGCCAAACAAAGAGAAGAATTGAAAGCTAAAAGAGAAGCAGTGCTAAAAGCATTGGATGACGAAGAAGAACGTTTGGCCAAACTAGAAGAAGATTTCAACAAACAAGATGAGGAGAATTCACGACGTGCACAAATATTATTCGATGACTTAGTAAAGTCCGGGACAAAAAGTTGGAAATATGCAAAAAGAAAAGTTGCAGTCGAAACAGTACCAGCTGGTGTTCGAAAACATCTCAAACGAATTTACAAAGAACAACAAAATGGCTCCAGGTATAGAAAAAAAAAGATTAATAATAATTCATTATTTATTTCCATTTTAAAAAAAAACCACGCAATCCAAAATAAAAAACCCTTTTAATTTATTTCTTATCATTTCCATTTATTTTCTTTTGGCTCAAATTCAAATCAAATTGATCACAAAATGTTTCATTTAATTTTTTCAAAGTTCAAATTCAATGTGTGTATAATTTTTATTAAATACCAAATGTGAATAAAAGCAAAGATTTAAGAAATAAATGAAAACTATATATGCTATTAGGATGTAAATAGTTCGCCTGAATCATTTTTTCCCTTGACAAAATTCCAGAATGGAAATTCTCGAAATCCACAACAATACCAGTCATCATTATTTGATGATTCTATTGGCAAGTTATTTTCAACACTGAAGGCAAGTTTTTTTCGGCTTCTTGTTCGTCAATTGACGTATTCATTGTTCACAATCATCGTTACAATAATTTATTTTCACTTGATTACTCTTATCGAATCGTTTTTACCCTTTGGTTGACAGCCAATTCATGTCTCATTATTAGTCTCGATGGTACATTGAACCAAATTAACAAAATTAAAATCCGGAATTTTCTGAACTAAAAATAGTCACTTACCAACTAAATTACGTCGCATTGATGATAAATTAATGCAGACAAAAGCAAGAAGTAAACAAAGCAGTCACTTCAAAAGCATAGGTGTGTGCGGAAAAGTAAAATGCCACATTAATTCAAATGTGGTGAATATTTGTAACCAAAGCCGATAAATTTTTTTCATAAAAAGTAATTCTCTTCTCCTATTTCATTCTTCATTTTTTGTTTGGAAAATTTGTGTTTTTTGTCAACGGCTGTGTAATTGGGCAAAATAATGAATTTCAGTGTGAGGAAGATAAAAATTATGTATCTATAGTTTTACACCAACACACATGCACTCTATTTAGCAAGTCGAAAAACTAAATTTATTTTGCTGGAATATTCATTAAAAAAATTATTTTCCCATCTATAAATCTTTTGCATTTGCTTGTTATAGTGTTTTTCTGTTTTTTTTCTGGCTTGATGGTCAAATATGCAGGCAAATATTCAATTAACATTTCAACAAATCCATTTTTTTAAATATAAAAATATCAATATGAATAAAATGATATGATATCAACATTGGATTGAAATGGAAGTTGTATATTTGTTGTAATCAATGTCATCAGACGTACAAATAAAATGTGTATACAGATTTATTAAATGATAGCAATGCTTGGCTAATGTAAAAAAAAGAGAAGTAATAATTATAAACTTAGTATATAGCCAGAAATAATCCTTTCCTTTTTTAGACCACACAGTCAGTAAATGCAATGTAAACATAATTTTTTTTCGAAAAAAATATGAGTTTTTTGTATTTATTCAACTCAAAGTAAATCTAAGCTTAAACACAATTGGGTAGGATTTTAGTAGATCTTCCATTGTGTTTACAATTCTATTGATAAGTATCATGTTGATATATTAGTGAGACAGTCAATCATTCCGGATTCATATCGAAACGGATGCATTTAGCTTTATATCCCGAAAAACTTTCTGCTCCGCTATTAAACGCACTATTCCTACATATTATTTTAATATTCAGCTTTTTGTGATTCGCACGTCTCTTTACAATGTCTAAAATATCATAATAATCTCTTTCATAAAAGCGATAGATGGAGTCAAATGCAGGGTATATGTGAAATTCTTTCAACTGGTCAGCGAACTGTAACATCTTTTTTAAAAGTTCCGTTGTTATTTTATGCTCTCGATATCTATCTACTTGGATGGTTAGCTTTTTGAGATTGCACAAATTTCGTGTTAATTTAATTAAAATGCTCTCATCGGAGAAATTCCCGAGCCATATCTGAAGGTTAGTAATATTCTCTATGGGGAAAAGATTTGTTATTGAGCTATCTAATTCAATACTCATTTCTACCACAAATTGCATGAGATATCTTAAAGCTGTACTGTCAATTTCATTAGGCTTTACAATTTTCAATGTCAATTTCCGAATGTTGGGTAGTTTATCTACAATCAAACGGCACAGTTCCAATGAATGATACATTTCTAGATTTTCTATTTGGGGATTTTGTAGTAAAAAATCATCAAGTTCCATATCTGGAACGATAACAATAAAATCTCTTAAATTTGGAAAATGCATTGCAGGTAATACGAACTCAAATATATTATTCCAACCAAATATGCGCAAAGTCTCCAACTGAGTACAAGCAGAAACGAATTCCGTAAATGGTCCAAAATGTGATTCTTCTAATAAACAAATGCATAGATATTTCAATTCCGAAAGAAGTGGACGAATCACAGTTAGAGTTTCGTCTCTCAAACCAGTGATGATTAACTCTAGTTTCTTAAGATTTTTACAATATTTGTAGATCAATTTGAAAACAGTATTTGATGCGTCTGATATATTAATACATCTTAATTGACGCTCATCTAAATGCAACTGAGTAACTGACGAACCAAAATCACGTAAAAACTCTTCGATTCGCAGTAGTGTAATTTCATCTCCAAATGTGTCCCTATTAAACCGTACTAGCCGAATTTTTAAAGGAAAAATTTCGTGAGCGATCCTCTCAAATCGCCTGCAAACCTTGATAATCGGATTGAAATCTCTCAAGCGACGAATTTTGTCGAATATTAGGCGTAAACAGTCATCATTTAGGGCGTTCATATTGTTGTGTGGTGAGTCAATGCTAGGAACATTTTGCTCTGTCGATGCTTGGAACAATGTCGATGCTTTCCTATTCACCTCCATCAATGATAACGAGTTCATTTGTTCAGTTAGGGTATTATTGATGCAGGATTCGACATTTGGTTTGACACTAGGGGAGAGAAACCAATGCTAGTTTTTCTAGTTTATAGCTAATTTACTAGTTTTTAGCTAATTTTCTAGTTTATTGCTTGAATAATCTAATAATGCTAATATTCCTTTATGAAATTGCTAGTTTTCTAGTTTTTTGTTCTGTCAAATGACAATCAAATGATTTCACTGACACAATGAAGTATTTTGACGTTTTGTTGTTCAGACATATTTTTATGTGTTTTGAATAATTATACACTTATAATCAGTGTTTCATATATCGCTATCAGTATCCGTAAGATAACTGAGAGGGATATATTCAGCCAGATATGAGTGTCAAAATTGTGTCAAAATTGCATTAGACACGCTTACCATCTCCAATGTCTAATTTAGACAGTATCATATCTGGCTGAATATATCCCTCTCAGTTATCTTACGGATACTGATAGCGATATATGAAACACTGCTTATAATAGTGAAAATAAGTTTAATTATTCTTTTTTAACACAAAATCGTGCATAAAGTACTTGTTTCTTTCAATAGTCGACTTGTAAAATTGATTAGTCAGCAAATCATGGCACAATATCAAAATGGCGGATCAAATAATTTTTGCTAATTTTTCTAGTTTTTGCTAGTTTTTTTCTAATTTTCCTAGTTTTTACTTGAAATATAAAAAACTAGCTAATGGTTTCCGTCCCCTAGGTTTGACATTTTTATACAATGGTTGCACTTTGAATTGTATATCATTTATTATTATTATTCGACCTCGCTTCATCAAATCTACCGTGACCTTACCGTCTTCAAACTGAACAAGTACATAATGAAGCTTATCAAAAAAGCTGTAGAGTTCATTTTTTATTAGTGAGCGATTATTTGTTGATTCAACTCTACCGAATTTCTCGAAAAAATTGTGCACATATTCCAATTCTATATAGTTCTGAAATTCGAAAGTTTTTCTATGAGTTTAAATGAACAATCAGAAATTGAAATCATAATTTCAAGAGTCTTAATGCATTTTACTTACACCTAGACTTACACAATCACATATGTCATGCTGATTTATCGGAACTATTCGAATTGTTCTCTCTGGATCTTCACCACTGAATATACGTCTCCATTCACGTCTTAAGTTTTTTAACTGTCCGTTCTGATTGTCCTGATTATCGTTCATTTTTTTAGTCTGATTACTTCGGATTACTTACTTTTGGAAGAAATATTTAAAAATGGAATAGATCGTTACAATTGAAACGATGAAACTGAAGTGAAAAAATATTTTAGTTTGTTCGTTTCAAAGCCAAAACTGCACACATTTTGCTTCTGAGAAGGTTTCATGCAGGTAAAACAAAATGTCATTGGGTTGTTTAGAAGAAAAAAGCATTCAAATATGGAAAACCTTTGTCTCTTGTTCTTTTATTGTTTTACCAAAGGTTGAAGTTGCTGTTTTTCAATGTATCATCAAAGCATATTTTTCCATTTGTTCTGTTCCTTTCTATACTTTAACCAACCAGTTTGTTCATGAAACATTTAATGATCTCTCTTGATGAAAGGCACGATACGGACATGCAAATACCTCATATCAGCTCAATCAATCTCATTGTTTCTTTTTTTTTTATATGAAATCTGATTTTATACTTGAAAAAGCATTGTTTATTTGTTTAGAATAATTTTTTCATATTTTTATCGATTGTTTATAAACAGAAAAATCCAATAAATAATTATGAAAAAAAGGCAAATTTTCTCTGAGGTTTTTCTCATAAAGTGTTTCTACACGATTAAAACGAAGAAAAGAAGAAAAAAACATGATTTACGAAATCGAAGATGATTCAGTTAAAACGAATGCACTGTATGGCTGTTGTTGTTCGGTTTGTGCGGAATTTCGTGCGTTGGCGGAAGAGAGCAAAATTTATGATGACGCCATTAGAGAAAAACACACTTCGTAAATATTCATAAATGACTGGGCAAGAGTTCGTGAATTGACGAAAATGCTTCTCATATTATTATAGTGCCACAATAACAGTTAACATCATGCCAAATGCTGTGATTTAGAAAGATTGCTTCGAATCGATTTGAGACCTGCGTACCGCACACTAACGCATCCATACTCTCGTAGTAAACAAACACATTTGGAAAAGTTTAACTCACTGCGCCGAAAATAGTGACAAGCACATGACCTATAGACGCTGGGCATAGAGCAGGAATGTGTTTTGTATATATCGTCATTGACGGAAATTTGCGTCGGGTTAATGCGTAATAAAATGTTCTATATAAATGAAAACACTGACGACGGTCTCGCTTCAGTTGAAAGAAAATTGTTAAGAAGTACAGTTGTGAAAGCGTGATTTTTTCCCAAAATTTCTTGATCGAAGCACACACAGTGTGAGAAAAAAATCTTTACAAAAAATGGCATCTAAACCGATCCGAAGTGGAACTCTTGATAATATTCCTGGATTAAGTGATGATATACGACAAATGTATCGGGATTTAAAGCGAATGGGAAGCACCACGTCAATTATTTCGGATATTTCAGAAGAAGCTCTTACATTCGACAGCAAACCGGACGATGAAGATTCGAATGAAAACACTGATTTAGCAGAACGTTTGCATGGTGTGGATTTAAGTGATGCCGATGCAATTTGGTCAAAACTTTCGGAAAGTGAACGTGAACAAATGGGCCGAGTTGTGCAACAACAAAATGTGACCGCTGTATTACCAACATTTAACCCATGGTGGGAGAATAAAGTGCATCGAATTGAAATATCCGAAATTGATGCAGATCCATCGAATATGGTCAGTACGGAACATGAATGGCGGAATTTGCAGCATCCAAAAATCAAGAAAACTATTGCTGATTTTTCACAAATTTCAATCGAACCACCGACCCAACACATTGAAAATAATTTGAAAAACGTTCTTGCCGCCTACACATCAACCGTTCGATTTTTCTATGGCGAACATTTGAGAAGTGCATATGAAGCGGTGAAATATTTATTTGTGATATGTTCGAGCTTGAAGTCAGATGATACAACGTTTATCGATTCAAAATTGGCCATCGATGCGATACGTGTGGAAGCAAGAAAAGAAGGACTTACCATTGAAGATAATGATCTAATGCAAATGAAAAAAGATATTGACAACATTACCGAGGGTCCCGATCCAAATCATCAAACCAACTGCTACATTTTGGCCGCATTGTCCGATTTATATCGTCTTTTCCAATTGGCCAAATCCCGATCATCATCGATAGCTACCAAAAAAGCATTCACAGCATCAAGCAAAAAACTTGAAATTATTCCAGCACAGGATCAAGCTCTGGAATTTCAACAGTTTATCAGCCGATTTGGTGACTTCAAAATTGTCGAATTCATCTCAATGGACAGAAAGCAAATAAATTCAACCATGAAAAAAGTGGAATATTTCTTGGCATATGCTAAAAAGTTCTTATCATTTTCATAAGCTATTGAGAGAGAAAAATATGTGAAAATAATATAAATTTATACATAAAATTGCGATTTTATTTAGTTATAAGAAAAACACGTATTATTTTTGGTGATTTTAAATAAATTTTTTATTGTTTTTGTTCAGGTATCAATAGTTGTTTGTTTTTATTCTGAGTTATTGTTTCGAATGTAAAATTTACTGCTTCCAGATTTGAAGGTGAGCTCGATAAATATCCGTACGGAGATATTTCTTGGATATATCTGTTTTTTTTTTTGTGGATTCAAGACATTATTGTCTTGCGTCAGTTTTCGTTTCGTATTTTTGTCATGGATATGTGTGACTGAGATTTATTTTTATGGTATCTTGATTTGAAAACGGATCGAAATATAACATTTATGTGTTAGTCCTTGTAGCTATGAGAAGAGATATGGAATATCCAAGGAATATGAACGAAAAAGTAGAAAAAATCTTCGATTAAATAAGAATGACTGTTCGCTTCAGAATTTATCAGCAACAGATTTCTTTTAGATCAGAAATTAAATCGTGAAATATGTATCACATATCCAAAATATTCATAAAAATGCATAAAAAGTAGGAAAATCACCATATTAAAAAGGTATTGTACAATGTGTACACTTTTACTAAAGTATTCCTAAAAATGTTCGATTATTATTATTATTTTGTGACATATATGCCGTAAAATTGAAAACAATGATTCAACGAATTGATTTTTTTATATAAACAGTGTATAAATACGAACGTGCTCTAGAACGATTATATTTATGTGTATGCATAATATTTTCGTTATGAAGTAATTTCTATATTTTAACGTTGGCTTCTAATAAATATTGAGTTTTGACATGAATTGACGAAGAAACATTTACTGAATTAATAACAATTCTATAAATATTTCTGAGTACATCGACTGCATCATGGCGAATATAAAATGAATATTGTACGTGTGTGATCTTATAATACATATATACGAAGATAAATTCATCGGAAATAATGTAAAAGTATTCACTGAAAAATGATGTTTATGATGAAATTCCACACTTCATAATAATTCATTCGCTTTTGATCTTGAAAAAAAAACGTTCGATTCTCTTAACGTCATCCTCAATCCATATAAAAATCTATCTTTCACTATCTTTCACACATATTATTGAAGAAAATTTCCGTCCTTTTTTATTTTATTTTATTTCCCCCCTTTTTTTTAAATAAAAAACTTGAATAAATTAAAATAAGGCATATGGCATAGATTCCCTCGAAATAAAAGGGACAACACCAATACATAGTTTCAGACATGTTTTGTTTTACTTTTTGTTGCATTTAATTTTCATTTGGAGCGATTTGAAATCAAACTATTTCTATTAAATATACTTAATTTTAAATTTAGACATACAACCGATTTTTAAAAGCGATATTCGCTATCCATCAATTATATCATTAGATGTTTGATGTCAAATTGCTCCAGTGTGTTCTACAAATACTTCACAACGCACACAAAATTAATAAAAAAAACTAAAATGGCTCGATTTTAAGCGAGGTTTTTTTCGGGCTTTGATTTTAATGTCTTAATCGCTATGCCGCATTTTTTTGGTTCATTTTATTTTTCGATTCGAAATAAGTACACTCATTTCGATTAATGTGACTTCATTGAAAAAAAAATGTGGGATGAGTTATTATTTTTAATTTGAAACCAAATACATGGAAAATAAAAATAAACTGAAATGAAATTCACAATTTACTTGAAAGTATTATTATTATTAAATGGGATGCGTCACATGTATTAAGTGAATGTTCGTGATTGTTCTAGATGTGACTCAATGCTGTTTGATTCGTATTTAAAATGATTTTAATTTTCATCGTAAAAATGTGCATTCAGGGAATTCACAGGTCGTGATTTAATTTCTCTTTTTCGATTTGGTTCATTTTTTTTTGTCATCTTTATAAACAGTCGCTGAATCATTCTATTTAATTATAATGAATTTTTGATTGTTTTTTAATTGAATGGAATGCAGTCTGAAATCAGCTGTTAAAATGTAAAATGAGAGTCATCAGCTGTTTCATTTCTAGAGGTAGACATATTTGGCATGCAGTCATTCCGAGATTAATAAAATCAAATTGCAACCGATTTTATTCGGATTTTTTCTTGACTTATTTTCAATTTTAAATGAAATTTCTTTTTTTTTTGTTACAAGAAGCACAGGAATGAGAAAAAACAATGTTAACCAAATCACGCATCGTACACATTCCAAATCGATTTGGTTTTCGTATCGTTTCACTTATGATGCTGTTTTGGTTTAATTTAGTTTATAAAATTGAACAAATTATTTTGGTGTTAACATAATGTGAAAGAGAATAATAGAATTTAAATTGATCGAAAACCGAAATTATAATTTGTTCAATTCTATCCAGTGATCTAATATTGCAAGCTTAAAACATACACAAACTAAAAGTAATCTAAAGTAGTTCACAGGAGCATTTGTTTAACATAATATAAGTAATTGCATACGACCTTTAACGTGCGGGTTTCTATCTCGTGTGGTAAATTTCGTTGTATATAAATTTAATTCGTTGCCACCAGGGCACATTTAACGATGATGCATCGATGGTGACGACGATGTTGACGAATCGGATGGCAGTGGTTCCATTCGTGATTCCAGTTTTTTCTTTAATATTTTGAATGTTTGTCGCATCGTCCGTAAATGATATTGTAGCGATGCTGTCATCTCGCGTTGTAATTGTTGTACTTCTTTGATGTCTTTGTGGAGATTTTGATATTCATTCTTCACTTCGGTGACCGATTCCAATACTTCCATCACTGAAACACTGTCCACAACATCATCATCAAACAATAGTGTTTTCTCTACCTGGACTAATCGACTTTGAAGCGAATCCAAATGATTACCGGCACATTGGACCTGATTTTTGTTTTATACAAAATGAAGCAATACATTCAAAGCAATTTTCGGTAACAAATTTGGTTTTATTGCAATTCTTCATGCAAATTACGAAATATATTTGGTAAAAAACATGCATCTATTACACTTACCGATTTCTCTAAATTCCGCAAATCTTCGGTTGTCATTATTCCGTATTTTTTTAGCTGCGACACAGTTTACTCCGTTTAGTGCTAATTAAATATTAATACAAGATTAAAATAGTTTTGAATTGACTTAAACGGCTTTCTTTTTGGGACATAGATTCATTGCAAGAATACTTTTCAACAAATCGTTGACAAACAATAATAATTATTAATAAAGGTTCTGGATTACTGCAGTTTTATAAATAACAACCAAAATAGTTTTGTTGTAGGTAAGTTTTGTTGTTGCTCTTCAGTTTTTAAAACCGATCGATATATTCATTTGCATAACGCACATGAAGTTGGCTTTACGTTCGAGTACATCTGTTCTAAAAAAAATATATCTAATGATAAACTGTTCAAAAATAAACGTTAAGTTTTATTGCAATTTCGTTGATGCTTACAAATAGTCAATGACACCGATTAAAATGTTTATTTTTCATGGAAAATCTTGAATTTCAGCACATGAAAAAATAATTAAAAATTTTAAACGGGAAAATTGTGTGTCGTACGGATTAAGTGATTCCCTCCAATTTTAACGATGTTGTCAAAGTGAATTGAGAAGTTGTTTTTTCACACACTCATAACCTCAATTCATCGTTTCTCCAGTGTTTTTTCTCTCTCGCAAATGTCACTTGTGTGGAACACATTTTAGAACAGTCACTTTTTGTATGCCCAGTTTACTGCACTACGAACAAACAAACAAACGATTTCAGATAAAGAAAGACAATTGTCGAATCCATCGTGAATCATCAAGTGTTTCGTCATTTCAATGATTTAGCATTTTTAAGAAGTTAAAAATGTTTGTTCACGCATTTTAATTTCTTGTCAAATCGATTCGACAATGATTTCCCTCCACTTTTATCGAATCTATGTGGAACAAATTTTTAGAACTGTATACATTCACAGCGTAGTATAGATTCAATATATATATATATACTAAGACCCATATCAGAAGCAGAACTCATATCAAACGAATCATACAAATAAAAGAAATCTCCGCCATTTTGCAAAGTATAAGTAAGTAAATCAAAGATTTTTTTTTATTGTGAATCGTCAAAGTTATCATTTTAAATTTAATTTATGACTTGAACATTTATCTGATTTTTGTGTACAATTTTTTTTTGTTTCTTTTCGGTTTTAACAGCACTTTCTCGAAACGTAATTTAAACAAATTGAGTCAAACAGCGCAGTAACCATTAACATTTTACTTTGTGTAAAGTCGGAAGAAGAGAGGATATTTTGCTTGTTTGTTGAAAGACAGAAATAACACAGGCGGTCGAACTTCGTTTTATCAGTGGACAACAAAATGGGACAAACACTATCCGAACCGGTAACTGAAAAAGAATCAGCTCATTGCCAAAACGATGAACTCGCGGTGAGTATATTATTTTTTTCGCTTCTCCTTTCCCTTTGGTTTGTTTTGTTTTCAGCACACTGGCATTTGTCAATTACTCGTACAAGCGGTTTTTAATTTTAGACACTCGAAAAATAAGCAGAGAAAGAGAAGAAATATTTTATTTTCATACAAAATTGTCGTACACATCTAGATACGCCAGTGTGAAGTAAACAAAGCAAAAAACACATTAATCACATCGAAAATAGACAAAAGAAAATGAACCAATAACGATTGCACTAATTCAATTGTAACTCCCAATTTTATTGATTAAACTATTTTAACGACGACAACAACAAATGCACAGATCAACGATTTGTACGAACGACACTAGCTTAAACTATGCAGTATGGTTTGGTGTATGTGCAAAGCATACGAAATGTATCCATACCGAAGAAGAAGAAGAAGAAGAAGAAAACATGAATTCAGAATGTTCTGAAAATTGAATATATAAAATGAAACGTTGCACATTATTTAGTGAATAAAAGTCAATCTCAATGTTAACCATGAATTCATGGCATGGTATCACTCTCTTTTTCTATCTTTACTCTCCTCTAAATGTGATTTATTGACATTCACTCTTAGCTAAATTGCTGTACTTGTCGCTTTAACACAACCATAAATTCCATTTATGAATTAAGGCAATTAATTGAATCATTGATGATTTTTCCATTTTATTTTCACGATTGTTTTCTTTTTCTTAATTGAATGGTTAAGAATAATAATGAAACTTAATTTTGGTTCAAACT